ATCCTAGTGTGCACAAGGATGCACAATGCATCAAATGCCCACTGAAAAGGCAGGTTAGCAACTAGGTTGCTCACTGCACAGCTCCCACCTATTCACGAGGCTATTTTGTCATTCATGTGTAGTTTGAACCCTTCCTCTGACTCTGTGAAGTCATTAATTCATTTTGATTCTTTCAGATAATAATAAGATTCGAATCCCATACCAAACTGCAAGGAGTCCAAAATAGTTTCATTCCACTGTATACTTACGTGTATATTTGCAAGTAAATATGTAACTGCTATGGAGCAAATCACACCGGCATGTAGAATGACAGCTAAAATGGATGTTCAGAGGCATAAATCTATGTGGATTAGATAAGAGTCATCCAAGAGCTTGTTAATAAGGCCGCATCTTCATGGATTCTGATGGAGTGCCAGGTGAGGTAGCTGTAGCATTAGTTCTAATAGTTCTTAATAATATAATCCCGGAATCAGATATAGGGGTAAATGCTGAGAGGTCAGAAAAGTAAAGGAGCCAGCCACTACAGAGACCTCTTACCTCTACTGCATCCTCAGACCAAAGGGGTGATCTTGGACCTAAGAATCCTCCAACTGAATGCAATCAGCTCCTGTCTCCTCCTGCCTTACATTCATCTCTCTACCCAGCCATGTCACTCCTGTCTCCACCTCCCTAGTACTGAGATTAAAGGCGTACTGGGATTAAAGGTGTGAGCTACCACTGCCTGGCTCTGTTTCTCTTTTAGACTGGTCAGTCTGATGTAGCCCAGGGTGACCTTGAACTCACAGAGATCCATGTACCTTGGGATTAAAGGTATGTGCTACCACTGCAGGGCTTCTATGGCTAACTAGTGTAGCTAGCTCTGCCCTCTGATCTTCAGACAAGCTTTAGTTGTTAGATCACAAGCAAAATATCACCACAGATAGCCACTCTAAGATGCTTTCAGATCCTGTATTTGACTCCAGTCCTGATCTAGTTTGCTTAGAATCCAGTGGTTGATTTAAAGGCTGAAAACAAAGTTGAAGGACTCATCTTCCACCAAGACACAGTCCACAAAATTGTCATCATGTATGTCAACCCCAAGGGCACCTCAAAATTTTTCTCTGATTTCCTGATGGATTTCCAAATGAAGCTTGGCCTAGGTTCAGTGGCAGAATGCCAGGGTAGTGAGTTGCTGTGTGCCTTCCTTGTGTAGACACTACTGTAGGCCCTGGCCATACAGTCAGCAGGGTTGCCTGCTACCTTTCATGGCAGAGGTTTTAGTCCACTGGGGAGAGGCTGGGAACAAACAAGAAACAAATCAGTCAGGTAGTTAATTACTGAAAATGATAAGCACTGTGAAGAAAATAAATTACAGCGAAGGGTTGAAGAATGGGAGCAGAGAAGCTGCTTTATGTAAGAAAGTCTGGAAAGACTAAGCGTGTGACATGCAAAGTAGGCAGTCTGTGAAATCTGAGGAAGTAAAAAAAAATTGGCTTAAAAAATACCTTAAGTAGTCTTAAAATCCTTGAATGTCCTTATAAGATTTCTGTTCCTCAGTCATGCTTTAAGTTTCTGTTTTCTTTGGTTGGGCTTCAACGTTTTCGATGTAATTGTGTATGCAAGTTGTTTTCATTGACTGGCAGTCATCATAAGTGGTTGTGTCTACAATAGCGTGGTGTGGTGTCAGGAGGTAAAATGGTGACTCTGAAAAATCACAGGGTGAGTGTGTGTTGGGGCACTAGATTTAAATACTTGGTTTTAATATTTGCTTTCTCCTTTTTTTTTTTTATGTCTTCAAATCCATGATCTAAAACTTGGCCTTTTGAGTCAAGATTATAGAAGAGAACAAAAGATTCATTTTTCTATCATATAAATTTACATCATGATGATAATGCTTGTAGATTCCCAAAAAGAAGTCTCTATAAATTTTTTAATCATTTAGAATTTTTCATTGCCTATTAAACTTTCTATTTTTCAACCATGCACCTTTGTGTATGTGTGCTGGAAATGTGGGTATGTGTGTATCAGTATGTGTCAATGCAAGCATGCACAAAGCCACGGCGAGCACATGCAGGGCGAATGGCAATCCCAGTTGTCTACCCTCACCATCCACCTGAGATACTATCTCTTGTTTTGTTATTTCATCTACACCATTGCATTCTCCTATCAACCTCCAATCTCAAGTAGAAGCACTGGGATTAGAGATGCTAGCTCCCACAACCAGCTTCTTTTACATGGTGTCTAGGGATCCAAACTCACCACCTCGTGTTTATATAGCAAGCTCTTTACTCACTCAGCCATCTCCGCCATCCTGTTCATCATTTTTCATTCTGCTTCCTCCACTATCCTACAGTTGTGTCAGTTGCTAACAAGCTCTTCATTTTGAACCTGTGTTCCCCAGTGTTTGTGAATCATATCCTGGTATTTCCGTCTCTGACATGGCAAAGTAAAACCAATTACACTGGAATTTTCAGACATGGTCATGAATTGAAATGGAAAGGTAAAATGCCAAAAGAGGATAGGAGGGTGTGGGAGGAGAGAAGGCAGTTGCTTTGGGATGTGTCCATAAAGCCATCCTTCCAGCCTTGGCCAAGAGAATCCTTGACCCCTGCATATTGACATTCCAGATGCAGCCATTTGGAAATGGTGCTTGGTGTAACATTTTGTTTATAAGTATGCCGTGGCTCAGAGAACTTGAGTAACCTGCCCAGGGTCATTCAGACAGCGAGGAAAACAGCAGGGGTGGGCACTGGTTGGTCAGGGGTTCACGCCAGCATATGTGTGTGGCTCCACATTTCCTTTTGGGGTTCTCTTGGGACTGTCTCGACTTGGGGATAGTTTAATAACAGCTTATAATGTGATGATTAAATTTGCCACTACCATAAAATAAAGTTTGGAGCCCATCTTACCCGGTCACATAGCGTCATGTTTTCTATGAATCTTTTCCAGTAACCAACCCTCATGTCCTAATAGGGAACCACCATACAAAGAGAAGCAGTGGCCAGGCAAACCAGACCTATTAGGGTCACAAACATTGGCATTCGTTGGAGTTCCTTCCTCCCCTTTGCAGGTGTAGTGAAGGGCATGTGAGCACATGTTTTTTCCCCGTTATGAATTTTGGGTTGTAACATATACAACAGGTATAAAAATCCCTACAACTTAAGAGAAGGTGGTGTTTGTGTAAGTAACCATACCAGATGCACTGTAATGTAAATCAGTGGAATGCTTAGTCTTTGGTAGCTAATAAGTTTCAGCCTTGCCTTTTAAAAATTGTAATAGAAGATAAGCCAATTAAATTTTTAAGATCGAAGCCTTATTTTGATTTTTTGAACTATAGCCCCTGCTGTCCTTTCCCTGTTTTGTCTTGTTTGTTACCAGGTGGAGTGTCACTAAGGTGCCCAGGCAGGCTTGAGGTTAAGATTTTGCTGCAACTCCTTGAATGGAAGCAAAGCTTTAGGTTCCCAGAGTTGTTTATGTAGCTTCCCGTGGATACGTGGCCTTCTGCCTCCCCCAGAGCCAGCTTCCTTTGCCTGGCAACACGTGAGCCCAAATACTCACTGCTCTTCCTTTGTTTGCTCTTGGTTGAGATCATCGTGTCATCCCAAGGAGAAGGTGATATGCTCAGTCTCAGGCCACATTCCTAAGTCCTTCAGAATAAAGACCCAATTGTGGACCACTCAACCATAAGAATAAAAGTGTCCTTACTCATGAATAGATGAGATGTTACTTCAAGAATTGAAGAGTATGTTTGTGATCATTTCACAGTGACCCTTGCTAAAGAAAGGGAAGAAGCTCCAATTGGAACTGGGAAAGGTGTGCCCAAGCCCAGTCTCCAATTGGAACTGGGAAAGGTGTTCCCTATCCTTGACATCATTTTAGTAGACTAAGATTTTGAAGCCCAAACATCCAAAACTGTACCTAGCCCTTATCTCTTCCATGGTTTGAAATATTATTTTACAAATCATTTAAATTTTATTCATTGGTTTACAGTTGTTTTATCCATGGGTTCTGTAGTCTACCTGTAAGGCTATGCCTGCTGAATAATGAACTTCAGCATGTCTCAGTAACTTGCCTGCAACCAACCACAGCATCCAGTGTGTTAAGATACTTTCATTCTATGGAAAAACATATGCAAAGTGTCCATTATTTAAGCATAATATGTTTCAAAATAATTAATAATTTATGCATTACATAAAAACCTATGATGGTTGAAAAGAAATTTTTTAATCAAATAAATATGAACATAAGCTCCAATTGTTCACTTTTGACAGTGACCTTGTCAAACTACATAACCTATATACACTGTATCCTCAATATAGCAGAAACTATGGTGTTAATTTTTGAGGTTCTCATAAGTGATTAAAGTAATAAATACTGAGCGAAGAGACAATCAAATTCTTTCTGAATTTTTAGCTTCCAAAAGTGAAAAATTTAAGAAATATCAGTTCCTAGTGATTTTATTCAATTACAGTCCCTCAGATATACTTTACAAAAAATGTTTTGACAATTGATAATGTATCTTACAAAAACATTCTTTTAGAATTTAAATTTGTCAGCTGCTTGTTAGACCTAGCAAATTGTGGTATTTTCTATACACATCAGCATTCTTTTTCCTTACAAAGCAATTTGGTGCAGTGGGTACGAATTCACACCTCTGGTTGTACATAGATTATGCCAGATCCCTGACCTTGTGTTTCCCTCCTTTCTTATGTGTACAATGAATTCCTATCCCAGGACAGTGTTAGAAGGAACTTGGGAAAATTGAATTTCTTAATAGGATCTCATTCAGTATTGATAAATGCACGACAACAGCAGCCACTGCTGTGCTTATGAGCACCATTTTCCCAGTTAATTTGTGAATTAGGAAACCTGAATGATTGAGCAAGATGTGCCACCAAGGGACTTGGGCATCTTTAGCAAAGGACTTGACTTTTCCGTCTCATTTCTCCTGCTCTGCAAATCCTGTGCTCCGATCCAGGCACATAAGCTAATATTGCAATCAATTTTATTTGCTCTTTCAGTGTGTGGGGACATCCATGGACAATTCTTTGACTTGATGAAGCTCTTTGAAGTGGGAGGATCGCCTGCCAACACTCGCTACCTCTTCTTAGGGGACTATGTTGACAGAGGGTACTTCAGTATCGAAGTAAGTACACGTGGTTTCCTCCCAGCCTGTTCTGCATCACTCATACTGCAGGAGGGTAGAGACGTAAGCACCATGCAGAAATCCAGAATCTGTAACAATCAACTCTAATACACTGAATGAGATAAATGCCCCTAGCCCCCCCCCCACACACACACACACCGTGTTCTTTTTTTTTATGCAGAGGAATGTCAAAGAAATGGTAAGATTTTGTCTTTGTGTGTTTTGTTTTTAAAATTGGTGAGAGCAGTGAGTGATTTCATCTCATGTTGAAAGAACTAATTAAAGTTGAGAGCATAAGTGGACTTGAGTTGGCATACCTATGGCGTATAATTGTGAGAAGAGAAGTCACTTTCATTATCAGGTACAGAGTGCTTGTGTGCCTGTGGAAGGACACTGGGAGCTGCTAGGTCCTGGCACCTGTCATCTAGCTAGGTAATTTCTCAAAGTCGTTAGTCAAAGCAAAAGTGATAACTAATGAGAGGCTTTTCCCCAGCATTCCATCTTCATCTGCTTTAAGCAGGTAGAAAGTACATTCCAAATAAAAACATGTTGTTCTCATGTTTGTTCTTCCTGTCTCAGGAAGGGCTCAACATTTAGACTGGAAAAGCATGATTTCCGTAAGAGAAAGTTCTGAAGCTAGAGTTCACAGATACTAGTCAATTATGTGCTCTTAGGGAAAAAAAATGAATATAAAGTGAGCACTATTTTTATGCATTAAGTCAACGTTACTGATACCTCACACCATTTACTCACAATCATAATATGCAAAAGTGTTTTAAAATACTTTAAAGTTAGATTTACTAAAAAGATATTTAGTATTAATGCAATGTGTCAACCTCAAAAATACCAACTGAATATTTGGACTATTTAGTTACCTACAATTGAAACTCTCTCTCTCTCTCTCTCTCTCTCCCTCTCTCTCTCTCTCTCTCTTTCATGTATGTATGTATGTATGTATATATGTATAGTATGTATGTGTATATACATATGTGTGCATGTACACTCATAATATACAAATGTACATACATGTACATTTATATGTATGTATAAACCACTTGTAAATTGACAGAAACATGTTTTAGGTATACATGCACTGAGGTTCTGACTATGAAGAAATGTCTTGTATCTCCTTTCTCTCTAGAAACCTAGGGCTAGAGAAGGAAATAGGATTATACAAAATCTGAAGAGAACCAAACCCTGGAATGGGTGGCTGTCCTGGGTTCAGTTTCCTGTTGTTGCTCTGGTGTGTGTGTGTGTGTGTGTGTGTGTGTGTGTGTGTGTTGGGATTAAAGCAGGCCCTCGTGTGCACTAGGCTATCATTATAACACTGAGATGCACCCCCAATTCTATTTGTTTTTCCTCAAAAAAGTACAGTCGCGGCCATTTGAAATATTCTAAATATCTCCTAATTAGAGGTTTTAGAGCCCCATTTTATAAAAGCTTGAAAAGTAGAGATCACTGATTTGGTCCTAGGGAGATGTTTTTCTTTAAAAAGAAGAATAGTTGTTCTTGATATTTGAAGTAATAGAGTTGCAATATTTTGTCAAAGTGCATGTGAAGACCAACGTATCCAACTCAATTCCCTGTCATGTTGGTTGAATGTAGGTCTCACAGTACATTAAACATTCTGAGATGTATTTGTCAAAACCTCCATCTTCAAAACTGGCTCTCAGTTAAAATGAGAATACAGACCAATGAACTTCTACACACACAAAAAAATGACAAAATGTTCATTTGTAGTATGATGCATTTTTATCTAATTGTGACCTGTGCATAGCTTTGCAGTGGCTGTGACATGATCAAGCATGTGTGACAGCAGTTCTCAATCTATGGGTCACTACCCTTCTGGGGGTCAAATGACCCTTTCACAAGACCATCTGCATATCAGATATTCATATCATGATTCATAACAATAGCAAAATTTCAGTTGTGATGAAACAATGAAAATAATCCATGGTCAGAGGTCACCAAACATGAGGAACTGTAGTAAGTGTCGCCGCATTAGGAAGGTTGAGACCACCGATGTATATGAAATGCTCTTACTAAGAGTATTTTAAGATATCTATTGTGGAATTAGGAGGCTGACATTGTTGGCATGCTGAAAGTATTGTCAGCTCAGTGATCTCATTCATTCCTCTCAGTTTTGGAAAGAATCTGTAAGTACCTTCCTCTCATAGGATGTTGACACAAAGGCTAAGAGAGGGTTTAGGATCTCAAGGCTGACCTCTTCCCACTGTCCCGAGCAGTGGTCGCAGTGTCTTCATTGAGAGTGCCTGAAGAAATAGGTTCATACTACAATGCAGAAGCCATGTACAGCCCCACACATTGACACGTGTACACACTTGAGTACGCATGTTCCTGTCTTGTGAGGTTTAAGTCTTCAGATATAAAATATTCTCTGTGTGTATGAGATTGTTGACTCTTCAGCTCCTAGAATAAGAGCTTAGTTTTGTGGTGGGTATTATCCAACCAGGTTTCAAGACGTTTCGGATTTGTGCCCATGATTTGGGCTTGCACTGTGAGTGTTCTTCTAAACTGGTCCTCTCAATGAAGAAGGATGCCTGCCTGCATTTACTTCATTAACAAAGCAGCTTTGAAGACCTGATCCTATTTCTAATGAACTCTACTGACTCCAGTTGTAGGCTCTGGGTATCGTGCTATGGACAGCACAGACTGC